TTGAATTTCGCTGAGATCGACATGCCTGCGAATGCCGGCTCGTACGGCGATATTGGCCGTGTGAAAATACCTTACCGTTGCCCTTCTACATGCTTTCACCTTGCCACTGATATGTGTATACATTCACTTCAATCGGTTATTCCACTTCTTAAAGATTGTTTTTTTCAGAATACCGCTTACCACTATTCCTAAAATCATTCGCCATTTACAACAATCAGACCAATGCAGAGCAGAGATCTATCAGCCCTCCTGCAGGCGCCACAGATACAAGCTGAGAACCAGGCTATTTGTAAGACTCGTTTCTGATTGGTCTGATTTTTGTAAATGTTGCGAAAGGATTAGGAAAGTTGTAAACGAAGCGGTCTTTCTGAAAAAATCTTTTAGAAGGTGAATAACGAATTGAAAGTCAATGATATACACATCATCAGTAGCAAGAAGGTTAAGCCATGTAGAAGGCGAACGGATAGGGTTTTTTTCACCCGCAATAGCGGCGTACAGGGCCGCATTCGCAGCGCTATGCATTTGATGCCGATCTCACGAAATTTCATGAACCCCGTTCTGTCCCAATATAAACCCTCACACAAAATATAAAAAAGGTTATATGGAAGACAGAGTTATTCGGTCTAATGTAACCCCTTCCTCTTGGGTTTGTGGTTACCCATGTATCTGTAATCTACAGTAAGACGGTAGGTAGTATCGCCATAAATGATAAACTGATACTAGCTGATAGTGAATCGTATGTATAAATTCAAAATCTATGCAATATATGCGGAGATGTAGGCCATAGCCTCAACTAGTTACTGTAGTAGTAATAGTATAAATAACTACTAGTAACTAGCTTCTAGTAGATAGTACTAGTACTGGTTAGTAGTACTGCTGAAGGGTCGTTGTCGATATATGGCGAGTTATACCCGAAGTGTCGGCGAGGGTATGTCGCCTACGCCTACTCCCGGTTCAAGGCTAGAGAACATGGGTCCCAATAAAACCAATGTCATTTACATCAATATAAATATAATATTATATCAATGACAATATAATAGGTTAGGGTTATGGTTAGGGTTAGGATTAGGGTTAGGGTTAGGCACATTGGTTTTATTAAGACCCATGTTCTCTATCCTTGGGCCCTACTCCCTAACCCTAACCCTTAGACCGAATAATTCTGTCCCATATAACCTTTTTTATATTTTGGTGAGGGTTATTGGGACAGAACGGGGTGCATTGACATTTCGCGAGATCGCATGCAAAATGCATGCTCTGCTAATGCGGCCCGTACGCCGCTATTGGCGCGAAAAAAAACCTACCGTTTCCTTCTACATGGCTTTACTTAGCTCCAAGAAACGGTATTGCTAGGGTTAGAATATCGTTTCAAATTCTTGATCATAAAACCTTGTAGTTGGCTCGGTATCCAACCATCAACACAGCTAGCGTCACATGTAATAGCTCAAACGAATCTATAAACCTCTGGCTTTCTCGCGGTAACTGGGCGCTACTGGGCGCTACTCATTTATCGAGTTATGCCGTTTTTCTGAGATGAATTGGATCAAAACAACCAGACAGCCGCCATGTCCGCCATGTTCAGTCCGACTAAAATCGGCAATGGACCTGATTTTCACAGTCAGTAGGCCTAAACACAAGGCAAGTACATATCTTCGCAATGATAATTATTCAGTTGTTGTAGATTGATGTTTCCTGGTTTTCAATGTTTTAATATTTATATATATATATATATATCAGTGCTCGAAATGAGAAAAAAAATGTGGTTGTCCTGCGGACAACCCAGGCATCAAATCAGGTTGTCCGCAACAATTTTTGGTTGTCCCAAAAAAATATCCCAAAATATCCTATTTTCAATCACATAATAATATCGTCAGAAAACACCCAAAAACACTGGTGTAGCCAGGATTTTTTAACAAGGAGGGCCAAAAACAGC